GGTCGAGCCGGGAGAGGGCCCCGAGGCCCGACATGTCGGCAGAGACAGATCGGCGGCCAGAGCCCCATCGGGGGGCCCGGGCGCCCCCCGAGGTGGTGTCTTCAAGGCGAGGCCCCTTCGCGCGAGCGACCCCCTCCCCGGGGCCAGCTCTGCGTCCTGGACCCCCTTCTCGGTGGCCCCTTCTCGGCGGCCAGAGCGGGCGGGGGCCCGGACGCCCCACGAGGTGATGTCTTCAAGCCGAGGCCCCTTCGCGCGAGCGACCCCTTCCCTGGGGGCTAGCTCTGCGTCCTGGACCCCCTTCTCGGTGGTCCCTGCCCCAGGAGGCCGAGGGCAAAGGAAAACGCCTGGACTGAAACACGAGACTCGGCAAAGCACCCTCCTAAGAGCAAGAAGGGTGAGGAGGCGGATCGAAGAACAGGAGGTCGGCTAAAGATCTAAGACGCAGCCGGGAGAGGGGTGAGAGCACGGCCGTGTGTACCGTAATGTATTGTTTACCAAGGGTTGTGCCGTCCAGACCGAGTGTGCAGCCGGCCGGCACTGAGGCGAGAGCACGATTCCGGGTGTTGCTAGAAGTGCCCCTGGCCCACGGTGCCCCCCGGGCTTTCCAGGGAAGCCCCCACGGCCTTCAGAGCACCCCTCGCGATGCCCAGGGGGCCCGAGGGGCTCCAAGATGGAGTGAGAAGCTGGGGGGGCACCGTGGGCCAGGGCACCTTCAGCGACCCCCGACCTTGAGGCGAGGGCACCATGCCTGGAGCAGACTGCACGAAGTCTCAGGCGAAGCGGCTGCCAGACCAGACGATGTCGGGCGGCGGGCTCGGGCTCCCCTCCACGTCCCCCCCCCTCTTCTGGAACCGTTCCCTGGCCCACGTTGGGAAACCCTCTTCAAATAAAAGGATTCCCCATATTTTCCAATATTTTCTGGGCTTTTGTCTTCCCCCCCACTTCCCATATGTTCCTATATTTTCTGGAGAATCGAGGATTAATTGTGTCTGTGTGTGTCTTTCCCTCCTGACTCGTGCGAAACGCTACTCCGCGGATCTCTCCCGTGGTGCGCTCTGGCCAGAATTATGCGAGGCGACGAGGGCCTCCCGGGAGGCCCCACAACCGGGACAACGGGCGAAGGGCACTCTGGGCCCCTTGATAATCTTAGCGTGGGGGGCGCGTCACCCCCGCCGACCGCCACACATCGACCCCCGTCGCGGGCAGCCACCGCGCGCCGAAGGTGCGCCGACCGCCGTCGCGGCGCGACGACGAGGCGAGGCCGACCCCCGTCGGGGTGGGGTGGGGGGCACCCCCCCACGCTTACTATGAAACCCAGAGTAACGGTATGGGTACCTTTTCTTCTCTGAGGGCTGCAACAGAACTTCAACAATGTTGAACATTAACTGACGGCAGCACACGCGGCTTTCTTAGACCTGCGCTGGACGCACATCGCCAGGGGGGGGGGCAGCGCCGATCCGGAAAATCCGCGCGGAGCGTCGAAAGTTTGTGTTTACACGCCACTCGGGAGAAGTGCGTGGGAACGTGGGAGCATGAAGTAGGAAGACGGGGAAACAAAAAGTAGATTGGTTTCGGGCCCGCCCAAAGAGCAACAAAACTGAGCAACAGCATACAAGTTCTTGAGGCAGGAGGGCGCTTAACAACAAGATGGGGATCTGGATATCCCAAGATGCAGCGGAGGCCAGTCCACAAGAAACCTTCCACAAGAAACCCAACTCTGAGACCTCAGGACGTCCATTGGCTTTTGGTGTGGGAACGTCACGCTTCCCATGGCAAAACCATCGAACACCAAAACAAACAGGGCACCCTGGAGGCAAGCAGGGTTTCTTGGCATGGGCCTCCACTGTACTGACTTTCAACGACCGGCGTGTATGCAACCTTCTTACTGGATTAAAGTCAAAAAACAAAACAAACAACAACAAAAACAAGCATTAATGCTACTCAGCGTGAGGGTACTAAACGGTCATTCACTGTCCCTGGTTGCGTGGCTGAAGTGGGATTCCGCGATGCGGATTATTATTGTTTGTATTTGCGCCGTTGTTGTTGTTCTTGCTGTCCCTGTCAGTTGTTGTTGTTGTTGTTTAATACTCATTCCTGGAGATGAATAGTGGTGATCTTTGGAAACGGTTCCGCGCGCTCTCGCCTCGACGCCGGCTACATGTTCTCTGAAGACGAAGCTCCCGCGCGAGCGTTGGCTTGAGTGTAGAAGTGGGCCTTTGGAGGCCTGGCTACGACGACAACGGCTCCCGCTCGACACTTCCTCACAATTCACCCCAAGGTACCCTGGCCAGAGAGGCCCCCCAAGTCAGGAACGGCGCTCTCGCTCGGCACTTCCTCGCAATTCAGTCAAGCCGGCGGAGGCCCAGCCACGACGGCAAGGGCTCCCGCTCGACACTACCTCACGATCTACTCCGAGAGCCCCTGGCCAGGAAGGCCCCCGAAGTCAGGAACGGCTTTCTCGTGATTCAGCCAAATTGGCGGAGGCCCAACTGCGACGACAAGGGCTCTCGTTCGATACTTCCTCGACATCTCTTCGCTGAGGCCCTTGCCAGAGAGGCCCCCGAACTCAAGAGTGGCGCTCTCGCTCAAAAAAATCTTGTAATTCATACAAGTTGGTGGAGGCCCAAACACGGCGACAAGGGTTCCTGTTCGACATTTCTCCATATGTATTCCGAGAGCCCCTGGCCTGCCCAGAGAGGCCCCGCAACTCAGGAACGGCGCTCTCGCTTCAGAGGTCCTCGCACTTCAGTCAGTGGCCGACAAGGAAGATATTCCCCCGAAAGGGGATGCAATCGAAGGCAAAGAGGGCGGGTATCGAGGGTTGGGGTATACAGAATGAAAAGACAAGCGGGCAAGCAAGAACGAACAGTCTTAAAATGATTGCTGTGATTCGTTGTTGGTTATGTGTTGTTGGTTGTTGGTTGTTGTGTGTTGCTTATTGTCAGTTGGTTGGTATTTGTTTGTTTATTTGTTTGTTGTTGCTTAGCGTCGCCCCCCCCGCGACTCGGCCCGCGACCCACCTGCGACCAACCCTGCGACCCGCCCGCCACCCACCCGCGGCCCACCCCGCGACCCACCCCGCGACTCACCCGCGGCCCACCCCGCGACCCGCCCGCGACCCACCGGCGACCCACCCCGCGACCCGCCCGCGACCCACCCCGCGACCCACCCCGCGACACCCCCGCGACCCACCCCGCGACCCACCTCGCGACACCCCGCGACCCACCCCGCGACCCACCCCGCGACCCACCGGCGACCCACCCCGCGACCCACCCGCGACCCACAACGCGACCCACCCCGCGACCCACCCGCGACCACAACGCGACCCACCCCGCGACCCACCCCGCGGCCCGCGACCCACGACGCGACCCACCGCGCCACCCACCCGCGACCCGCCCGTGACCCACCTGCGACCCACCCCGTGACCCACCCACATTGCTGACGAAAAATCGGCGCCTGCGACGGGCTCTTTGAGTACATTGTAAAAATGAAAGCGCCTGCGGCGGGCTTCTTCAGAGCCTCGCAGACTGCAGACGTCCCTGGCGCCCCCTCACTCGTATCCGCGACTGCGGGGGGTGCTACGTAAAAAATGCGGGGGTCTGGGGACCCGCGAGGGTCAGGGCCCGCCGGGTCCACGAGGTCGCTGTGCAGCGGGAAGCGCGCCCGCAGGCGCTCCAGGAAGGCGAGGGAGGACCGCTTCAGGTTGGCGAGCTCGGACATGAGCACCGCGTCGTCGGACGCGTGCTCCTAGAGTCGACGGGGACGAAGGGGCAGGCTAGTCGAGGGCAGGGCAGAGGATCGGCCCACGCAGCCTCCTCTCCTGGCGCGTCCTGGCGCCGGGAGGCGCCCCGTGTGTCGAGGAACGTGCCCGGCGGCGGGGCGGAAACCAGCTGCGTGCAGCAGATGTCGTACCCACCCTGTCCCTGCCCCACCCCTTCGCCCAGCCCGATCCCAGAGGCCTCCCACAGGGGGTCCGAGCAAACGGCGTCAGAGCATCGCGCGCCGCATCGGCGATGCACCGGAAATGCGTCGGTGACGTCGGCGATGCATCGGCGCTGCCGGCGTGGAGGGAATCGGGCTCCGCATCGCGCCGAATCGCCGATGCATTGGCGATGCGGCGGTGACACCCCGTCTGCTCGGAGCCCATTTTCGGGTCGGGCGAAAGGGGGGGATAGCAAAGGGGGGGTCTGAGAATCAGCTCACGTAGCTGATTTTCCTGGCGCCTCCGGGCGCCGGAGGCGGCTATGTATCGAGGAATGGACCCCTCGGTGAGGCCGAAACCAGCTGCATGCAGCAAATTTCGTACCCCCCCCTTTCCCCATCCCCCCCTTTCGCCCGGCCCGACATTGGAGGGGCCCGGAGCTCCGCGCCCGGGGGCGCCAGCAGCCTCAAGATCCGCTCGGGGCGGGCGATGGTCGTCGAGAACGACGCCACCTCCTGGCGGCGCGCAGAAGGCCCGGGCAGGCATGCGCGCGCCCGGCAGGAAAATCACGACGGCAGGCTCTTGGCCGCATCCAGCCCCTCGGGGCCCTCGCCGGGCCCCTGGTGCCGTCAGAAGACGGCTCAGGGTGAGGACCTGGCCCTGGAGCAAGGGCTGGGCCTTCTGGGGGCCCCGTGCTGAAAGAAGCAAGACGCCGCAGATGTGCTGGGCGGGTGAAACGCGGGGAGGTGACGAGGCGGATGGGAGGAGGGAGGAGGAGGAGGAGGAGGAGGAGGAGGAGGAGGAGAGGAGGAGGAGGAGACGCGGGACGCTGCCTCTTCCAAACGAGTACCAACACCAAAGGAGGAGTGGGAAGAGTCCAGGCGTCGCAGCTGCCGGGGGATGGGGCGACGGAGAGGCGGCCTCCCGAGGAGGCGGGGGGCCTCCTACGCTGGGGAACGCCAACTGGCCACCGCACCGATCCCAGCTTTACGTCGGGCACGTCCCCCCTGCAGGCCGATTTTGGAGGAAACTAATATCAAAACAAATATTCAACAACAACAACAACAACAACAACAACAACAACAACAACAACAACAACAACAACAACAACAACAACAACCACAACAACAACAACAACAACAACAACAACAACAACAACAACAACAACAACAACAACAACACCAACAACAACAACAACAACAACAACAACAACAACAACAACATCAACACCAACACCAACACCAACAACAACAACAACAACAACAACAACAACAACAACAACAACAACAACAACACCACCAACACCACCAACACCACCACCACCAGCAACAACAACAACAACAACAAAACTCAGAAAATCGTCCCCTGACTATTTATTGTGTATTTTTGAATATTCCTCCTGTAGAGGGACAGGCCCGACTTCATCCTAGCTGGGCTGATCGTGGGCCAAGCGTCGATGCATGCGCCCTTCTGGCCTGGCCGTGGAGGCATCTGCACCGATCTCCTGGTGGCGCGCGCGAAGGGATGGCGCGAATCGGAAGATGGGGCGACGGGAGGCGGCCTTCAGAGAAGGCAGGGGGGCGCCTTCCCAGACTTCCTCGCGTCGTGGAAAGAAACGCGGCGGGAGGCTTTCTCTCACGTTCGGCCTCTGGGGGCCCTAGCTGGGCCCCAGGGCTGTCAGAAGGCATAACTCGGGATGAAAAACCGGTGCCCTATCCCCCAAAACGCTCGAAACATCCTCAGATGAGGTATTCAGCAAATCGTCCCACTAACATGTTCTGACCATTCTTGCATATTCCTCCTGTAAAGGGACAGGCCCGACTTCACAACAGGGATCGAAAACAGAAGCTGCACAAACCGAAACCGGCGACGGCCCGCGCGGCTTTCCCCGGCCTGCGCTGCGCGCCCATCGCCGGCGCGCGCTTCTGCGCGCCAGGGGCGGCGCAGGGGGCGCCGCCAAGGGGGGGCCACCGCCGAGATCCTGGCGGCGCCGATCCAGGGGGGGGGGGCGTACTTCGACGAGCGCGTTCCACTACTCGCAGAGTAACTACTCGCAAATGGCCTGCATCCCTCGAGGGGGGTCTGCGATCAATCTCATCCAAGCAGAATGGTGTCTTTGTCGGACGTTTGCGAGTAGGCACTTTGCGAGTAGTGGAGCGCGCTCGGCGAGTACTGGTTCGGCGGCGAGCGAGGGGGGGAAATGAGGAGGAGAAGGCCTCCTGAGGAGGGGGCGGGGCTTCTTGGAAGCCCTCGCGCCCTCTGAGAAGCTTCCTCTGTCTTCGGGGGAGGCTTCCAAAACTTCTCAGCAGGCCGGGGGACTTCCGAGCCTTCTGAGAAAGCCTTCTCCTTCTCTCATTCCCCCGCCCTCGCTCGCCGCCGACTGGTGGCGGTACTCTTTCCTCCTGTGAGACTGGCGTGCGTCGTCGCCCTCCCGTCGCTGCCCCCTGGCCAGCCGCGGGAGGAGAGGCCGTGCCCGACCGCGCGCCGCCGAGCTCTCCTGGCACAGCTCGCCGTAGGAGGGCGGCGCCCCGCCGTCGCCCATGCACGCCGCGGCGACCGCGGGCTGCGACCTCCCGGAGAAGTGCTCCGCCGGCCGGAAGAAGTAAATAAAGGCGGGTCGCCCGGGTACGAAGAACAGGCACGTCGGTCGGAGGAGGCAGGCAGGCAGCGTGAAGCAGGGAGGCGGACAGAGCAGACTGGGCCGAGGCCCACCCCGAGAATCACAAAGCACAGCAAGAGCAGATCGATGGTTGAAGTAGGAAGTTGAAGTAGACCGGGATCTGGGCATCCAGAGAGACCTACGCTCAACGACCGGCGGGCACTCCGACGGCAGGACCCCGCAGGAGCGACGACCAAACGGGGGTCCTACGCGAGGCGGCGCAGTGACCTTGCTGGAGGCGAGGGCGCCTCTTCGCGCCCTGTCGCGGGCAGCTTCCTCGCCAATGGTCGGCGAGGACGGCCCCCTGTTTTTTTGTTCCGTCGCCTGTGCGTGCGACGGCGTCGTCGCCCTTGTGAGCGCGGAGGCTCTCTTCCTCCTCCTCCTCCTCCTCCTCCTCCTCCTCCTCCTCCTCCTCCTCCTCCTCCTCCTCCTCCTCCTCCTCCTCCTCCTCCTCCCCCTCTTCCTCCTCGTCCCTCCACAACCTTCCCCTAGCTCCCCTCCCCTCTCCTCCTCCTCCCCCTCCTCCTCCTCCTCCTCCTCCTCCTCCTCCTCCTCCTCCTCCTCCCCTCCCGTCTCCCCATATCGCCGTTTTGCTTTTCGCCCTGGCGGAGGCCCCGACCTCCAGGAGGGAAAACAAGAAACTCGGGGACGCACCGACCCGGGTCAGTGCAGACCCGGGTCAGTCGGGCCTTGCAGGACCCTGCAGGCTCCTGCACCCAAACCTGGGTCAGTGCGCCCCTGGCCCTGCAGGATCCTGCAAGATCTGGCGCTCTGGCTGACCCCCGTTTGCGCTGACCCCCGTCTCTTGCGCCCCGAAAAACAACCGTGAAAACCTCTGGACAGGCGCTGACACCGGCGTCGCGAAACAACCACAATGGAAGATGTTCGTGCTTTTTGTGTTGCCTCTGGGGGCCCTCGCTGAGCCCCGGGAGCATCAACAAAAAGACTCGGGGTGACCAGCCAGTCCCCGGGAAGGGGTCTAGATGTTCTGGTGGACCCGTCGTTAACAAATACGAATAACGAGAATAATAATATTACTGATACGAAAATGAATAATAATGACAAGACGAATGATGAGAACAACAATACGAATAGCAAGCCTAAAATACTGGCAACAGCAACAACAGCAGCAACAGTAGCAGCAACTAAAACAACAACAACAACAACAACAACAACAACAACAACAACAACAACAACACCAGCAACAACAACAACAACAACAACAACAACAACAACAACAACAACAACAGCAGTAACAGCAACAAACACAAAAAAACAACAACAACAACAACTACAACAACAACAACTGCAACAACAACAACACCAACAACAACAACAACAACAACAACAACAGCACCAACACCAACAACAACAACAACAACAGCAGCAGCAACAACAACAACAGCAGCAGCAGCAGCAGCAGGAACAACAACAACAGCAAAAACAGCAACAGCCATGTCAGGAATGTTCGCTCATCTTTGCTCGCTTGACATTCGAAACGGCTGTCCCGAACGTTTGGTACCCGCCCTCGTCGTCTTCGATTCTGGTTATGTATTCCTTACCTGCCGCGTGCAGTTGGTGCAGCCCGAAGGGAAGAGAGGACGTATGGAGGGGGGAGGGAAAAGGATGGAGCACGAGAGGAATTAGCAGTAGGGGGCTAGGAACAGAGAACACATTGTAAAAAACAGCACGAGAGAAGTCAGCAGGAGAGACGGGCAGATCGGGCGCGCAGACCCTAGCGGGCGGGTCGAGAAGGCAGACCTATGCGACCAGGTCGAGCAGGAGGGTTGCTGAAGCGAGAATCATGCATGAATCTCGAGGAAGTCTCGACCGATAGCGCGATTCCCAAGTAAAGCGATAGAACAACCAAAGCGAGAGTGTGATTCCTGACTGTCAAAGGCGCGTCGTTTAAACAAGTTGCGAGGACGTCCCATGCGAGAGCGCGACTTTGGAATACGTTGCGAGGAAGTATCTTGCGGAAGCCGTGGTTGCTTTGAAATGGGGGGCAGGGGGGGCAAATCTGAACAGCAAAACTGTCCCTTGTAAAAAACAGGGTGCGATCCCCAGGAGGACCACTTTAATTGAAAAACATAATGGGTAATGGGCGATCAACATCACTTATTTTAGAAATGAAGGTTCACAAACAACTACTTTACGACTGTTCGCTCGTACATGCTCGCGTGCCATGCATCACGTATACCCCTAACCCTCGATACCCGCCCTCTTCCTCCTCGATCGTACCCCACCTGGATGTGTATCTTCCGTACCCGCCACGAGTAGTTGGCGCAGCCTCTAAACCAGGGGAAAACAAATGGGGAATAGAGAGAGAGAGCGAGAGAGAGAGAGAGAGAGAGACGAGGGGGGAGGAAGAGGGATGGAGCACGAGAGAGATGCGCAGGAGGGTCAGGAGCAGGCCGACCAGCCATAACTGGGGGAGCTGTGGTCCTTACCCCCCTGTGGGAACCCGTCGCCTCGACGATCTCTCGAGAGGGGTGTCGAAATCGATGGGTCCCCCAGGGGGGAAGGACCACAGCTCCCCCAGTTGTGGCTGGCCTGGCAGGAGCACGACGCGGCAGAACCAGACGGGCGAGCCGGGCGGGCGGACCCTGACAGCTGTGTCGGACGGGCGGGCCCAGGCGGCCGGGCCGAGCGGGTGGGTCGCCGAAGCGTCCATACGGCATGAATCGCAAGGAAGGTTCGTGCGATAGCGCGAATCCCAAGTACATCGTCAGGAAATCCAGTGCGAGAGCGTGATTCCTGAGTGTTGGGGGCACGGCGCCGCAATACGTTCCGACGTCCCACGAGAGAGCGCTAATCTTGCATACATCATGAGGAAGTCCCGAACGAGAGCGCAAATCGAAACTATTTGTGAGGACGTTTCAGGCGGGAGCAGTTGTTGCTGCGAATCGGAGGTCAGGTGCGCGAGCTGAGCCTGAGACTTCCCCTTGTAAACAGCAGGGTGCGAGCCCTGGGAGGGGCACGTCAATTGCAGAGGGAGGGGGACTTGCAGTGATCATCCTTCAGATAAGGGAATCCAACAACAATCGGGGATGGACAGACCCCACTTTAGTCAAACGTGGTTTAGTGAAATCGACCTGAGGCCCAAACCTGGCGGGCGCAGGCCTGGAAAATAACGGCCACGGCGCCCTCTCGAGAATCGAAAACGGACAATTCACTAATCGACGTGTCACTGGTGGGGGTTCTGTCCACCCCCGAAACAACTGCAACAGAACAACGACGTCGGGGCTTGGGGCAAAAAGAACCTTCCGGACGGCCGCACGCATCTCTTGCATCGGCGCTGGACCGCGCCGCGCCTTCGGCGCCGCGCCTTCGGCGCCGCCCCTCGGCGCGCTCCGCGCGCCAGGCTCCTCCTCCTCCTCCTCCTCCTCCTCCTCCTTCGCCTCCTCCTCCTCCCCCTCCTCCTCCTCCTCCTCCTCCTCCTCCTCCTCCTCCTCCTCCTCCTCCTCCTCCTCCACATTTACTCAATATGAATACTACTCTCCTCCTTCCCCTGATGACGGGTTGGGAGTGTTCGCCCCCCCCCCGCGTGCTGCTTTTTTTACACACAGGATTCCCCGGAGATGGGTTTTCGCCTGAATGTTTTTTCCAAAATGCTGCTCTCACTGAGGCGCCGGCCTCATTGTCGGACCCCGCTCGTTCCGAATCGTGCTCCCGCTGCAGCGCTGGCCTCAGCTCCGTGCTTCCGCTCGTTCCGAATCGTGCTCCCGCTGCAGCGCTGGCCTCATTTCCGCGCTTCCGCTCGTTCCGAATCGTGCTCCCGCTGTAGCGCTGGCGTTATTTCCCGTGCCATGCCACAGCATGCAATGCAATGCTAGGTTGCGTTCCGCTGCGCGATGCCATGCCTTCAGCTGAAGCAGTGATATGCAGTGCTTAAGTGCCACGTCGTGCTATGCCATGCTACGCTTTGATCTGCAACGCCACGCTATGCAATATTATGTTCGGGGCCGCTGTGCGATGCCATGCTTTGCGTTGCACAGCTTTGTGATGCAATTCTTCACTACGCCAAGCCACGCCATACTGTGACATACTACGCTTTGCGGTGCTCTTCTACGCCATGCCATGCCGTGCTCTACAATGCATCGCGTACCCTTTCGGGATCGTTGCCCTGCTCGACATCCGACTGTGCGAGTAGAGAGGGGATCTGCGCCATGGTAAGGGATGGGAGGGAGGGGCAGGATGTCAGATATGACGCGAGCGCACCTAGCTTGTCCCCCTCCCCCTCCCCCTCCTCCTCCTCCCACTCCTCCTCCTCCTCCTCCCCCTCCTCCTCCTCCTCAGGAGGGGCCCGGCGTCGATCCGAGAAGACCGCGCGGGCCTCCGCTCACAGACGCATCCGAATTGACCTTTTGACACGGCGCGGCTCCCCCTCAGGCCGGGAGAGCGACGATCGAAAACGGGTCGTATTGAAGGCCTGGAGATAGGCACCAACACCAAAACAGGGGGTTGCCTCCATAGGGGGCAGATGATCCTGGATTTCGGTGCTGGTGGTAATATTTCGGTCACCTTGGAAGCCAGAAGATTACCACCATCACCGAAATCGGGAGTTTCTTCCCTCGGTGGAGGCACACCGCCGATATTGGTGTTGGTGTCAACCTCTCGGCCTGCGATCCTACGCGATATGGCGCAGCGACCTTACGCAGTTGCTTGCGCGGGCCGCCCGCGCGGCACGCCACATCATGGAGGCGAGAGCGCTCGCGCGCGACCTGGCGCGATCCGCTTGCGCGCCAGTGTCGGCGCAGGCGACCCCGTGTTGCTCTGTCGCTCGGGTGTCTGGGCAGCTCCTCGTGCCGAGCCCTTTCGTGACGGCCCCGGCGCTCGGCGAAGGGGCCCAGGAGGCCGAACATTGCTCCAGCCCCGCCGTCCTGTTCCTGTCCTTAGAAGCCCCAAACAAAGTGCTGAAATCAAGGAGTCGTCTTCCCTCTGGCCCATCCTGACTACCTGCCAGACCACCCCAACCCAACCCGAAGACCCGAATTTCGGGTTGGGGGGGGTACGGGTTCCACGCGTGTTTTCTCTATGTTTCCCGACCCCCCCCTACTAGAAATCGAGGGTAAATCTGAGCCTTCGGGTTGGGTTGGGGTGGCTTGGTGGGTGGTGACATCCGCGCAATCTGACCAGAATTTCTGGGCGGACTCGGCCACGCGAAGCCCCCAGGAACGGCCAGGGCCGCGGCGAACCCCGAAGCCGCCGGATCCTCGGGGGGCTGGGCTCGAGCAGTGGGCGGCTGGCGTTGGGAGACGCCGCGCACGGCCTCGCTCTCCGAGCGGTGGGGGATCGCCTCGCCGCCCCTGCGGGGCGATCCCCCACCGAGGGCCCTGCTTGCGGACAGTACTTATATCCATTTCCAGAGCGTCGTGCACTTTTTGGGAAGAGGTGCCGCAACGCCGAGGCGCACTGGATATGGATAAAATCAAGCCTCTTGGGGCCAGATTTTTATCCATATCCAGCGCGTCTACGGTTTCTGGGGAAGAGAGCCCAAGAATCCAAGACGCACTGGATGTGGATGTAATTGTTGCCCGCACTGCTGCCTGCGCTAGCCCCCCACCGTGGCTCTTTCGGCGCACGCCGTCCCCGAGGTGGGGAGCCAGCGGCGCCACATCGCATCGCACGCGCTGCCTTTCCACCGCCAGCCGCAGTGGGAGGCCGCGGGGGGGGGGGGTCTGAGCTGGCATCGGTCGGGGGGGGGGAGTGGGGCCGAATCCCGCTCAGAATGGGTCCACGGACCACCCTCCCGGGGTCCGGCTGGTGCAGCTGTTCCCCCTGGGTGCGTTGCTCGTTTCCGACGGTCCCCGTCCCGAACCAGTGATGGGCCACCCCGCAGACCCCTGGACGGCCCCCCAACTTCGGTGCAGGCTCTATGCCCACGGCGGGGGACAGCGTGCAACGAGCGAGCCGGCGGCGCCACATCGCTCGCCACCTTTCCAACGCAGACCGTACAGTCAAGCTGCTGCAATATGGAACGCTACACTTGCGGGCAATACTTACATCCATATTCAGAGCGTCTTGGACTGTTTGGGGAGGGGTGCCGCAAGGCCGAGTCGCACTGGATATGGATAAAAATGGAGCCTTGGGGGCCAGATGTTTATCCATATCCAGTGCGCCTCCAGATTCTGGGGAAGAGAACCCAAAACTCCAAGACTCAACTCACGGGATGACCTCCGGAGCAGCGAGCCCCTTCCGAACCGAAGGCGGTCCTTCTTTCGGAGTCTCGACTGCCTGGCCATCGCTCGGACGTCTATTCCTTTTGTTTTTTGGTTTCGTGGGTGTTTTTTTTTTTTGCGCAGGATGATCAAGAATACTCCTCAATGATCTCCGCCGAGAAAGAGTGCACACGTCCGAGCGATACCAAGCCGCAGTTGTTGCAGGTGAGTGCTCACGGGGGTTGACGGGGTCTGACGTTGCTTACTTGGCCGGACAATGCTAGATGCCTCGCGCGCGCATTTTCCACTGCGCAACGAACCGCTGGCGCAGTTGCCGCGCCGAGCATGTTCGAGAAGGTGCAAAGCAAAAAAGGACCCCTGGAGGTCCCCAGGGTGTGCCAAAGCTGCCTTCTTCCCCCCCGTGTGCAAGCCCCTCGGGCGGGTGGAAAGTGGGGGGGGGGACCTGCGCGGGGGGAGGGGGAAGAGAAGGGCCCCTCCGGGGACCGGTCTTCGACCCAGGGAGGAGGGAGGAGGGAGGAGAGAGGGAGGATGGAGGAGGGTGGGAGAGGGAGGGAGGGAGGAGGGATGAGGTGGTGGTGGAACTCTGCGTCTTGTCGATGACGACGTGCAGTGGCCCTTATAGTGGGCTGGCTCGAACCTGGCCTGTAGCCAGGTTGAGGGTATGGAAGGCCCGATCCCCTCTCAGGCCCGTCCGAAGATTTGGTCGGCCCAGGCTGTCCCGCGCGTAGGCGGGCCAGCCCGAGCGGCGGCAGCACTCCTGCTGGACGGCAGGCACGGCCTGTGGCGCCACTCCTGCTGGACGGCAGGCACGGCAGCGAGCGCCTCGAGGGGACACCTGCGAGGCAACGGCAGTGCGAGCCCCGAGCAACTGCGTCGGGGCGGCCACGCAGGGGACACCTGCGAGGCAGAAGTGCGGGCCGCCTGGCACGCCCGAGGCCAAGTCGCCAGCAGGCATGCGCGGGCAGCGGGCGGCACGCGCAGCGAGTAACGCACAGCGCCGACCAGAGTTAGAAGATTTCAGGGCGGCCTGGCCGCCTTCGGGACAGGTCCGCCTGCCATGCGGCCGTGCGCCGACCTGCTATAGATGCGGCACAGATCGAAAAAGGATGGGCCGAGCTGGCGGCGGGCGATCCTCTCGTCGAGCAATGAGTCAACACATCGCACCGGCGGCGGAAGGGCGACTGCCAGCATGGCGTCGGCCTCAGATGCCGGCAGGGGGGTGGACTCAGGCTTAGAAGCGCCGATGGCCTCGTGGGGCCCCGCCTCGTGCAGCACGGGCTCCACGTCCTCCTCGCTGCCGTAGTCTGGAACGGGGACGCCTGCTGGCCAGGTCATGGCCTCGCCGCCCGTCACGAAGATGTGGAACCAGTGGCCATTGCGGAGCCCGAGATCGTCCCTCTCGACTCCGGCGGCGCCGTCCACGGCCTCGCTGCCGAGGGAATCGAAGCCCTTGTCCTCCTCCTCGGCGTGGGGGCCCGCGCGGGTGGGCTCCTGTGTGGAGCCTGGCCCAGGGCGGACGTTTTCGGCCTTGACTAACTGAGTCGAACCGTCATCCAAGCGCACCTGGTACCACGCCTTGACGCGGTCCACGGTCAGGATCACGGCCGACGCGCCGTTGAAGGACGTTGCCTCGAGGAGCCCGGCCAAGTGAACGCGATCTCCCACTGGGTGCAGCGGCCTTGGCTCGGCCTCGCCATCCCTGGAGTCGAAGCCGACGTCGCCCGTCTCCTCGAGGCTGGGGCACGGCGCCGGCTCTGGGTGCAGCAGGTCCTCGCTCTGCCCAGGCCTGCTCTCGGGCACTGCCAGGCTGGCAACTGCCGTGGAGGCCGCGCGAGCCTTCATCTGGCTCTGCTGGCCTGGCGGGAGGGGCGCACGGGGAGTCCTGCAGCGCCGCGGCAAGTGCCCGGCCCACCGCCTCGCCGAGCGTTGCCGCTGCGTGGGCCCGCATCCCCGGACCGTGCGGCATGTCCTCTTCGGCGGGCACCTGGGCCTCTCGCCTTGTGGCCGGCCATCGGGAGGCCGAAGGGCATCGCCTACAGGTGGCCGAAGGGCCTCGCCATCAGCAGGCTGGGGCGTCCGGTCGACAGGCAGAAGTACAGCGCCAGCAGCAGGCATAACTGGCCGATCAGCATCCGCAATTGGTCGACGAGCAGCGCTTCCGTCAGGTCGAAGAGCGTCGCCCTCGTGCGGTCGAAGATCAGCGCCTGCCGCATGCCGTAGGGAATCGCCGTCGTCCGGGCGCACATCACCAGCAGCGGACTGTAGTGGCTGAGGAACTCCATCGGGGGGCCCAGGGGCATCGCCTGCAGGTGGCCGACAAGCCTCACCATCAGCAGGCTGAAGCGTCCGGTCGACTGGCAGAAGAGCAACATCAACAACAAGTGAACGTGGCCGAAGAGCAACATTCGTAGAAGGCCGATGAGCGACGTCTTCGTCAGGTCGAAGAGCGCCGCCCTCGTGCGAATGTAGATCGGCACCTGCCGCAAGACGTAGCACATCGCCGTCGTCTGGCCGAACATCACAAGCAGCAGATGGGGGAGGCCGAGGGGCGCCACCCGCAGCATGCCGTAGAGCAACATCAGGCTGAACTGCACCATCAGGATGTAGTGCCTCGCACGCGGCAGGTCGGAGGGCGGCTCGAAGTCGAACTGCAAGTACTCCGACATCGGCGCCCCGGATTGGCCTGCTGCGCCGGGCGGCATAGCCCAGGCGGCAGAGCGCTGCCGCCACGGGCCTCGGGGCCAGCCGCGGGGCCGGCGCCGGTGGCATCTCGGAAGCCATGGCAGGTCGGGGTTGCTGGGAGCGACGCCCTGGGCGCGGGCTGCTGGTCGGGCTGGGGGCGCCACAACCAAAACGGAGGGAGGAGGGAGGAGGGAGGAGGGAGGAGGGAGGCCAATCAGGCCACCCACCTGTGGCCACCCGCCCGCAATCGGTTTTCGCCCCCCCCGAGCCTGAGGTGCTCCGGCACCGCGGCCTCGGCGAGCGGCGGGCGGAGCCGGCAGAACGCGCCGAGGCCCTCCGCCTCCTCCCGCAGGCACCGCCGCTCGCACGCCAGGTCCGCGGCGGCGCCCTCGGCAGCGCCCCAGCGGACGTTGATCGCCAGCTCCTCCTGAGCACAGACTCTTTGCGTCGGCGGCGGGGCCGAGTCGCTGCGCTGGCCAAGGAGCGCTCACGTCAGCGGAATGCACAACAAAACGCGAGTCGGGCCGCCATGCACGGAGGAGGGAGAGGGACGCACGTCGCAGGCAGGAGGGAGGAAGACGCCGGGCCCGCTCAGAGCGGGACCAGGCGGCGGCGGGGGGGGGGGGGGCGCCGGGCGCGGGGACCAGCGGCGGGCACAGACAGACAGACGGACAGACAGCCCTCGGCGACTGCGAGGGGTGTGGCTTGCGAAGGGTACGGCTTGCAACCGGCACCCCAGGGGGCCCCCTGGGGAGCGGGCGAGGACCTCGACGGAGCTCTCCGCCGCGCCCCGAGGAGGCCCGAAGAGGACAGCGTCGTGCTCCACAGGCTCGAATCGTGCCGATCGCAAACCACATCCCAGCGCAACCATAGCCTTTGTAGTCGCCGAAACAGTGACTCAGTGACTCTCCACCTTCAACACCTTCCGACCAGCAGGTGGCTGATTTAGTGGCAAGCATATCCACGAACAGAAACGTTCGCAGCTCCGCGTGGGTACCCCGGATCGGCGCTGGGCCCCTGGCAGCGCTCCGCGTGCCAGGGATGGGGTCCAGCGCCGATCCAAGAGGTCAGCGCGGACCTCCGAACGTTATGAGTATATCGTGAGCTGTTCGCCGAAGACAGACAGACAAGAGCCGTGCCCAGACGGCATATTGGCAAAGAACACTGTGGATGGTGACGTCGTGTCCGGGCACATGCACCATACGAACTGGCCAAGTCATCGATTGCACTGCAGGCAGCTCGGCTGCAGTCCGTCGAGGACCTCCGGAGAGTCGGAGCGAGGAAAGGCGCACCACCACCACCAGCGCGAGGAGCCGGGGGCTGTGGTCCCGGTGGTGTGGCCCCCCCACTCCCCGCTGGAGTGGTCCCCTTATCCTCCCGGCCCAGGGAGGCCTCGCGGGCCTCCCCTCCGGTGAGACGAGAGACGAGACCCAGACCCCCGACGCCGACGCCCCCGAAGCCTCGGCCCACTCCCCGGGACCGGCGCCTCGTGCCTTGGACGGCCCCGAGGCCCAGCGAAGGCCCCCGGAGAGGCCGAAGGTGACGAGAGACCTGCCGTCGCGAACCTGTCGTGCCTCTCTGGGGGGCGGCGGGGGAGGGCGCCCGCAGAGGACGCCAGCTGCGCAGCGGGCGGGCGGAGGGGCACATGGCCAGAGGACCGGCCCCGCGGCCACTCGACTCCGACCCGTGGCCCGAGCAGCCTCTTGCCTCTGGCTCGGGAGGCACCTGTTCGAAGCGCCGTGCGTGCGCTTGCTCCAGGTTTCGTAATATAAAAGGGAGGGGGTCTGGACCCTCCAAGACAAGACCCCCCCAGGCCCTCCAAGATAGCCTGGAAGAGACCCCCCCCCGAAATGCGACCCCCCTCCCTTTATTACGAAATCTGGAGTACCGTGCGTGTTCGACCATTGACTCCCTGTTGCCCGTCGCTCCTGGGCCGTCTCAGGCGGTCTTCGACCGGCCTTCGGCGGTCTTCGGCGGTCTTCGGCGGCCTTCTGATGGTCTTCGGACGATCTTCGGCGGCTTCTGGCGATCGTTGGCGGCGTGTTGCAGCCTTCGGCGCGAAAGTTGGATGGCTGCGCTCAACGAGGGGTCCACGATCGAACGCCCAAGCTTACCTCGTCACGGTAGCCATGTGGCCAGTTTGAGCAGCCCTGTGCTGCAGGGAGAAAGCAATAGATAAGGACCCAGCAGAGCGGATAGTCTCCCGCAAGGAAGGTTCTGGACATTTCTGGAACCGTGGAGAACTGAGGCCGCCAGCGGACGGGCTCATTACCCTGACGACCCCACCGCTGATAATGGTGTCGCGTTTCCCTCCTCCCATGAGCAGGAGAACAACAAAGTAGGCACCGCCACCAGCCCAAACTGACGGCGTGTCAATGAAACGGAGGCATTAGGAAGCAATTGCCCGAAGCCCTCGTGGCAACAATGAGACGGGATAGCAATCCCGACTGAGGGGGGGGCTATTCAGCCGCTCCTAGCCGGATTGAACCTAAAAATAAGCCCAAGATTACTCCAAATTGCGCCGTGTTAGGCCAGGACCAGCTGTCCGCCACGGATATCCCCGCACGAATGCAGAGCTTCTCACATGAGTTGCATCCTGGATCCCGACGGCGCGGCCAGTCTGTCGCCGTTTGGGGCTCCTGGAGTGGCCTGACACAAACGACGCGGGACGAGCAACCTGATCCTGAGGAATGGTCAGGAGGTCAGGCCACCTCGGCGAGGCACCAGAGGTGGTTCTGAGTGAAGGGGGTCTTCCGTAATGGTGCCGCAGAAAGAAGTGTAATAGTTCACCCTGTGACTCATGGCGCGTGGACTCTCTCACGGACCAACGATGCCAAGTGCAACGCATTCTGCCTGCATCCAGCACGATCCAGCACAAACGATTGCGCGAAACATTGCGCACATGTTTGAGACCCCTGTGCCAAAGACCCTTTAGCCCGAAGCTGACAGAGGCGGCCCGCTGGCGGTGGCGGTGTCGCTTCTCCTCCCTCCCCGGCCACCTGAATCCGCGGCTCCCCAGAGGCCTGGACCTCTTCCCGGGGACCGGCTCTTCGTCCCGAGTCGTGTCTTGGCGGCCCTAGGGCCCAGCTGAGCGGCACGCACTCGAAGGGAAGGGGAGGGGGGAAGGCTTCTCAGAAACCACGACGACGACGACGACGACGACGACGACGCCGGCGCCGGCGCCGACGCCGACGCCGACGCCGAAGACGACGCCGCGGACGACGACGACGACGACGACGACGACGACGACGACGACGACGACGACGACGACGTGGACGACGCCGACGACGACGTGGACGACGCTGCGGGCGCCGACGACGACGACGCCGCGGACGACGACGCCGCCGCGGACGACGACGCCGCCGACGACGCCGCGGGCGCCGACGACGACGACGCCGCGGACGACGACGTCGACGCCGACGGCGCCGACGACGCGGACGGCCCCCTGGTGCGCGCCGACAACCAGTGCGGGCCCGCCCAGGAGCCCGAAGCTCTCCCGCCATGGCCTCCCGTCGCGCCTCCTCTTCTCGGCGCGGGGAGGCCACGGCTCGTGCAGTGCCCCGTTGACTTGATTCGGGCCCCCTCCTCCTCCTCCTCCTCCTCCTCCTCCTCCTCCTCCTCCTCCTCCTCCTCCTCCTCCTCCTCCTCCTCCTCCTCCTCCTCCTCCCCCTCCTCCCCCTCCCCCTTGATTCGGGCCTGTCCTCCTACAGGGGGATGTTGGGTGAAAAACTAACGAATAATCAAGAAATGCCTACAAACAAATGTCAACAAATGCTCCAGAAGTCGTCCCAAGTCTATTTGTTGTATGAAAATTCTGAAATGTTCCCCCTGTTGGACACGCCCGACTTAATCCTAGAGTAGGTCCAAGTGGACGGGGTCGGAGGATCGCGCCGCATGGGTCGGCGACGCCTGCGTGAAGAAAATCGGGCTCGGCATCGAGCCGCAACGCCGATGCATCAGCGATTCGGCACGGTCCTCCAACCCCATCTGCTCGGACCTCAGCCGGGAGGCGCAGGTCCAGGGCTGGACCAAAGCGGTGTTTCTCGTTCTCGTGATGCTTTCGGCCTCCCCCGTTTTGCCTTCGTTCCGCCTCCGCCGCAGGACGAAGCCAAAACGAAAACGGCCCACGAAATCGCCAAAACACCGTTTAGGTCGAGCCCTGCCCAGATCATAGCCCGATCTGAAGGGGCCCAAGGACACGCAAAGAAATACACACAAATAAAGGAATTCCCGTTATTTTCCCATATTTACTAGGTTTTGTCATCCCCACCACTTCCCATATTTTCCCATATTTTCCTGGGGATCGACGATAAATTGTGTCTGTGTGTTTTTTCCCGTCCTGACGATCCTGCGCCCGCATCGCCAGCTCGCGGCGAGCCGCGTCCTCCCACTCCCGCAGGCCCGCCCGCGCCTGGGCGGCGACCTCGCACGCGTCCGCGCCGCCGGGGGTGAACGCGCCGCCGCCCGACTGCAGGCGCCACATGGCGGCGAGCGCCCAGGCGGCCCCCTGCAGGCTCAGCTCGTCGCCCTCCGCGGGGCCCCTCGGCCCGCACCTCACGAGGGGCGCACACCTCCGCGGGCGCGGCCTCGCGGCCCGGGCTCCAAGAAGGGCGCGAATCCCGAGGATACGCGCGCGGTCGCACGGAAATGCGCTCCGCGCGGGGCATCCGCGGAGAAGCGCCCCGCGTCCGCGGGGGCCGCGGCCCAGCGGCCCGGCCCACGAGCCCGTGAGTACGGAGATGCGCTTCGCCCCCGAGCACCGGCGGGCCAGGAGGTCCAGCGCCGGGGCGAGGAAGCTCCTGGCGAGCGGCACGAGGCCCATGGGCCAGTCGCCGGAGAACTCGTAGCAGCCGCTGTCGCCCCTCGCCGTCAGCTCCTCCACGGCGGCCTGTCGGCTGCGCGCAAAAAAAGCGACCCTGGGCGAGAGGGGCCTGTGGTGCGCGGCTTTCTGGGGGCCGCGGGGGGACCCAGACACCAGCGCGCAAGACGCCACTAAACTGCATCGCGCTCGGCCATCGGGGGGGAGCCCCACTGGGCCCGAAACCACAGGGCACTCCGGCGAAGGGTCGCTCTTCTGCGCAGAAGGCATCTATACACAACCACCGTGCCAAGCCAGGGCCGTCCTGGCCCTGGCATGCTGCATACGCCCTCCTGGCCGAGGCCAGGAGGGAGGGAGGGGAGGGAGGGAGGGAGGGAGGGAGGGAGGGAGGGAGATCCTGGCCCTGGCATGCTGCGTACGCCCTCCTGGCCGAGGCCAGGAGGGAGGGAGGGGAGGGAGGGAGGGAGGGAGGGAGGGAGAGAGGAGGGAGCCAGGAGGGTCTACACACCATCCTGAGGCCCAGGATGGCCCTGGCATGGCACGGTGGCGGTGCTGGCGAGACTAAAAAGTACCGATACCGCTACTCCCTGGACCCCTCCCGGGGTGCGTTCTGACCAGCATTTCGATGGTCCGGCTGTGGCGACGAGGGCCGCCGAGGAGGCCCAAAATGGGGAAAACGGGGGAGGGTGGATGCATGGGTATCTCTTCCTCCTCTGAGGTGTATCGATGCCTCCGCCGGATCTTACGTTAACGGGCGAAGAACGGTACAAAACAAACTGTTTCGCTGTCGGGGGCGCCCGTCCCTGGGCGGCTGGAAAGTTTGTACCCCTACGGTGGCACCGTAGGGGCAGAAACTTGCCAGCCGCCCAGGGACAGGCGCCCCCGACGGCGCAAAAGATTGTTTCATACCGTTCTTCGCTCGCTGATTACGTGCAGTCGAGCCTTCAGCTGCTCGAGGCCTCCGCCGGATCTTACGTGTATTTAGGGGCCCACAAACACACAAATAAATACACACAAATAAAACGATTCCCCATATTTTCCTATATTTTCTGAGTTTTTGTCTTCCCCCCCCACTTCCCATATTTTCCCATATTTTCTGGGAATCGCCGATTAATTGTGTCTGTGTGTTTTTCCCCTCCTGAAGTCGAGCCTTCAGCTGCTCGAGGCCTTCGCCGGCTCGCCGCAGCGGCTCGCCGCGCTGCCCCTCGCTGAGCACGCGGCCGACCTCCCGCAGGAGGCCCTCGGCCTGCGCCCCGCCGCGCGCCTCGAGGCCGCAGGCCCTCAGGCCGTGGAGCTGCGCGGCGAGGAAGCGGCAGAGCGCGGCCCACTCCCTCGGGGGCGCCGGCTGCCCCTGCAGAGGAGGAGGAGGAGGAGGAGGAGGAGGAGGAGGAGGAGGAGGAGGAGGAGGAGGAGGAGGAGGAAGGAGCAGCTGCGTCAGGAGGCAACTGCTGGGAGGCCGTCGTCGGGAAGGTTCGGGAGGATTTTGAGCCCCATTCGGGGGCTGTTGCGCCGGAGTGGGCCTCGGATCAAGCTGGAGGAAACGGGATTCAGCGGGATGAACCCGGATTAAGCGGGACTAAGCCGGATGTCGGACCAAAGGGCAAGATCGGAGTTTGACCTCCGAGGAGCTGTATCCGAAGCTGCGTACGGCGGGTTCGCGTCGTGACGACCCCAGCGCTGGCTTCTGACATCGCGTGGATCGTTCCACCTCGAACGGCCGGCGGCTTTTCGATCGCCCGATCGTTCCATATTGAACCGATTCTGGGCCACTGGCGGCGTTCAACCTTGAACACCGGCGGCGGGGTCGCCGCGGGTCGACACGACGGGAACCGAACGTAAGCGTGGACTTTCCAGGGTCCGCGCAGGTCTCTTGGATCGGCGCTGCGCCCCCTGTCCGCACCTCCGGCGCCGCCCCTTGAGCGCGCTCGGCGCGAGCCAGCGAGAGGAATCCTGCGCCAGTCCAAGACATCCGCGCGGACATCCGAAAGTTCATGCTGATGATGAGCCTGTTTTCCACCACCGCCAACGTAAGTTGGAGGGGGGAGGAGGAGCAGGACGAGGAGGAGGAGGACGAAGAGGAGGAGGAAAAGGAGGAGGAGGACCCCTCCCCCTCTGTCTTATGGTGGTGGTGGAATGCAGGCTCGTCAGCTTGTATGCAAGGTTCTCCTCTACGATCCTGAGTGCCAGTGTATGCCGTCGCCAGGCTGTCCAGGAGGCTCTGGTGCGCGGCGTGGTTCTCTATGCTGGTGTTCGCTGCAATGCTCGTGCACAGGTTCAGCGCCCAGGCGCAGGAGAAGCCGCTCTTCACCAGCAGCGCCTCCGGCGCCAGGACGGCACCTTCTGCCTCGGCACCGCCCAACTGATCCCCATCCCTGTTGGGCCATGAGAACAAGAACACAACTGCACGAACATGTACTTTCGGAGCTCCGAGCGGATTTCGCGCATCGGCGTTGCACCCCCCCTCCCTGGCACGCGCAGCACGCCAGGAGCGGCGCCAGAGGCGCCTGCAGGGGAGCCCAGCGCCGATGCGAGGCTCCGAAAGTTTATGTTTGGGCAGCTTTCCAATTCGAGCCATACCATCTCAGCCCCACCAGCCCACCAGCCCCAGGTGGGGGCAGCCCCCACAGAACTGAAAGGGAACAGCATGCATCCCCACACATTGGGGGGGGGCGGGGCAAAGTGCCCCGCCACCCCAAAGGTGTGAGGATGCTTGCTGTTTCCTTGGACTCGCCTTGAATGTGAGTCTAAGAGTTATGATGAATCGTTGGAGCCAATAAACAAAAAGAACAGAGCACCCCAGATAATAAAGCATATCCCCCCTTAACCCCTGAGAGTTGAGATATCCCGAGACAAGACAGAGTTGGTCGGAGGAAAGGGGCGGCGGAACCGAACTTCATAATCGCCAGGGATTCGGTATGAGTCGAAATTGCTATGCTCTTATGCTGAGCGTGGCAGGGCGAGAAGGGGATCATTATACCATACTTTGTCTGAGGTTCCGTGCTCCTCCGACCCTTCCAGGGGGGCTCCTCCAGAGCGAGCAGGGTATCGCTATACCATGCTACTTCTCAGATGTCGTGCTGCTCCGACCCCTCTAAGGATGTCCCGCCACAGCGAGCAGCGCATGGCTGTACAATACGTTTCATCAGGTTTCGTGCTCCTCCGAGCCCTCCAAGGAGGCCCTGCCAGAGCGAGCAAGATATCGCTATACCATACTAACATAATCATCGTACATACGAGAAGCCGGGAGAAGAAGTATCATCCCCCCGAGCCCAGGACTTCAGTATCCCCAAATGGTGATGATCAGGGGCATCGGGTTACTTGGGAAGCCAAATATCTAGGACTCGTACTGACATGTGGGTCCAAGAAGTATAACGCACCTTTGGAGTCAAGATTAGTCAGAACGAGGGGGGGGCGATCGGTCATGGCTGACATGGCCGCGTGGCTGCCATGGGGCTCCACGGTGCGGCCTCTTCTTGATGTTGCCTTGCGTGTCGTCTGCTATGTGTTGTTCGTTGTTTGCAGTTTGCTGTCGTCGTCCCACCCGCGACCCACACGCGACCCACCCCGCGACCCACCCCGCGCCCTACCCCGCGACCCACCCCGCGACCCACCCGCGACCCACCCCCCCGACCCACCCCGCGACCCACCCCGCGGCCCGCCCTCGACCCGCCCGCGCCCCGCCCGCGCCCCACTGCACGCGACCCACCCCGCGACCCACCCCGCGACCCGCCCCGCGACCCGCCCGCACGCTCTGGCGAAACATTGGGCGCCTGCGGCAAGCCCCATGCATAATTCAGATGAAGGGGCCCCAGGACACACAAATAGATACACGCAAAGAGAAAGATTCCCCCTATTTTCCCATATGCTCTGCACTTCCCATATTGTCCCATACTTTCCTGGGAATCGACGATGGATTGTGTCTGTGTGTTGTTTCCTCTCCTGCTCAAAAGTCGGCGCCCGCGGCGGGCCTCTGCAGAGCCTGGCAGGGCGGCCGACGGCCACGCCGCCCCCATCGCTCGCCTGCCCACGACTGCGGGGTGCTGCAGACGTGCTCGAGCGGCCCGGGATCGCCGGAGCCACGCCGCTCGACACCGTGCGCGAACCATCGCACGCAGCGACATCCGGAGCGCCGCAGCTCCGTACAGCCGCCGCAGCCGCGGGGGGGAGAAGAGGACACCGTTCGCCGCCGGGAGCGCCGCCACACCCCCCGACAAAGGACAGAGGGGGCTCCTCCCTGTGTCCGCCACGCCTCTCGACATCGTGCGCACCATCGCCTGCAGCAAAATCCGAAACGCCACAGCTCCGTACAGCCGCCGCAGCCGCGGGGGGGGAAGAAGAAACCTTTCGCCGCGGGGAGCGCCGTCACACCCCCCCGACAAAGGACGGGGGGGCTCCTTTTTTTTCCTTCAAGCTAGGCCGAAAACCTGTGCAGACATACAAATTCAAAGGCATGCAGACGTGGGGCTAGCGAAAGCTAGGCCTGAGCAAGCGCCACTTCGTCAAGCGACGCCTTTGTGCGCAGCCGCTTCCGGGGCCGGATGGCCCCCCACACATCATCGGGGGGGCTCCTCCCTGTGTCCGCCACCATGCCCCTGGCACGAAGTGGAGTGCCGCAGCCATGAAACGCAGAGGGCTTGTGAAGTTCTTGAGGGCCAAGACCCGAAGTTTCCCGGGCGGTCCCCAGCGGTCCCGGGCGCTCTTGGGGTGCGTCGCGTGGGCCTCCGCGGCGGTCCCCTCGTTCAGGAGGGCCCCCAAACAGGCAAAGTAAGCCCCACGGAGGCCGCCCAGAAGGTCCAGGAGGGCACATGATCGCCCAACGATCGCCCCAAGATGCCCCAGACGGCCTCCAGACGCCCCAAGAAGCCTCCAAGAGCGAGAGGGCCCCAAGAGGCAAAACTTCGTAATTTTGAATAGGTGTTTGACTGATTTGGGCGTTCTCGCATTTTCAGCAGCTTCCCGGCGCTCCCAGACGACCCAAGAAGCTCCAAAACTTGTCAAGACGGCCCAAAGACAGCCCAAGAGGCCTCCGAGAGAGCCCAAGAGGCTTCCAAGACGGCTCTAAGAGGAGACCCGCATGGGGGACCCGAACGGACATTTTGAGCCCTCGGCCCCGAGAGGCCCCCAGAAGAACCCAAAGAGGTCCCCAAGAGGCCCCCAGGAAACCCCCAAGAGGCTCCCAAGAGGCCCTCCAAAGGCTCCCCCGACGCTGTCGGAAGCCGTTTGGGGGGCCTCTCTGGGCCGACTTGGGGCCCTCTTGGAATGCTCCAGGGCCGTCCTGGAGGCCATCTTGGGCGTCTTAAAAGCCTCCTGGGCCGTCTTTGGGGTCTCTTGGGGCCGTCTTGGGGGCCTCTTAGGCCGTTCTGGGGCCATCTTGGAGGCATCTTGGGCGATCTTTGGGCGATCTTTGGGGGCTCTTGAGCCGTCTCGGTCCGTCGGAAGGCCGAAAAGAAGCAAGTGTCAGAATCATTCAAAAACCTATGGAACATCAATGTTTTTGGCACTTTTTCTGGCCTTCCTGGAGGCCCTCTTGGAGGCCTCTTGGGCCGTCTTGGGCCAGCTTCGAGCCAACTTCGGCCATCTTGGTGGGCTCCTGGCCCGTCTGACGCCGTCGGGAGCAGTCTTGGGGGCCTCTCTGAACCGACTTGGGGTCCTCTTGGGGCGCTTCGGGGCCGTCTTGGAGGCCATCTTGGGCGTCTTGGAGGTCTCTTGGGCCGTCTTGGGGCCCTCTTGGGGCTGTCTTCGAGGCCTCTTGGCAGCCTCGTGTGCGATCTTGGGGCGATCTTGGCGGCCTCTTGGGCCGTGTTGAGCCGTCGGAATGCCGAGAAGAGGCAAACGCCAGAATCCTTCAAAAACCCAAGGAATATCAATGATTTTGGACTCTTCGGGTCGTGTTGGTCCGTCTTGGAGGCTTCTTGGGCTTCTTGAAAGTATATTGGACTCTTTTAGGCCGTCTTGGAGGCCGCCTTGGACCATCTTGGGCGAACTTGGAGCCCATCTTGGACCATCTTGGAGGCCATCTTGGGCCAACGTGGCCATCTTGGAGGCCATCTTGAGCCGTCTTGGCGGATTTGTTGTGGACGCTGAGGTAATTTCCGCGGCCTTCCGGGACCCCAGCGGAACGCCAGGGGGAGTTCTTTTGGAAAAAGAACCAAAACCAAAACCGAAAGGATTCAGCACGCCAGGCACCCCTGCGATGAATCGACATGGGGCGGCGGATAATTCTGGGGGTAACATCACTCCTCTCGCCCTGTCACCCTCGTCGCCTCGCTCCCTCCCCCTCGCAAGACCTCCGACGTTGGGTTTGTTTCACGACATGGACCCCTGAGATCGGGGTTCGTTAGCGGAGAGGCAACGAACGCGGAGTGAAGAAACGTGCACATGTCGTGCACATTACGAGCGCGCGGTGGAAGTTTAGGGGCCATCCCTTCAAGGCCACTTTCCATTTCCTGCGATCCTCGATCGCACCCCCGCTTATAGTTCCCATGCTTGGAGGCGGCCAACGGGTCTGAGCTGGATGGGGACCGAAGATGGGAGGACAGGGGCAGAATCAGTCCCCGGAACCCACCCAGGGGCCCATCTGGTGCAGTTTTCACCCTGGATCCGGCTTTAACCGTCCCGAGGACCGACAACAGCCGCCCGAAGCCGAAATATTATATATACATATATATATACACATATAGACATAGATGTATACACACAACAGAGACACGCGCCGAACCCAGAGCCTCGAACCTCGCCCCCCCTTCCTGCTGGCCGGAACCGGTGCTGGGGGCCACCTCGGACCCCCAGCTGGCTCTCCAGACCCCCGCGCCGTGCCAGCGGAGGGGGGGGCCGGTCAAGACGAGGCCCCCGCCTTCCAGCTCGAGTGGTACCGCGGCAGCGTCGCGGGCGACAGCACGAAGGCCAGGCGGGTCCCCACGGCCTCCTCGGCGAACACGGCGCTCAGGGCCTCCGCCGAGGGGCCCGCCCAAGCAGCACTTCGCGCCCGGTCTGGGCACGAGAGGACGGGGCTCTGGAGGACTGGATGGGAGAGTTCATGGGAAGAAGAAAACTTGCGAGTGTCCTCGCGGACTGTCCAGATCGGCGCTGGACCCCCCTCCCTGGCACGCGGAGCCCGCCACGGGCGGCGCTGGAGACGCTGCCAGGGGGGCAACAGCGCCGATCCAAGAAATCCGCACGGAGCTCCGAGTTTATGCTTATGCAGTTGTTCGTCCCCCGAGATGCTCATGATTCGCGCTTGCGCCGTCTGGGAATGAGCCATTGTTCAGCGTTCCTGGACGGCGAGGGCGCGAATCGTGACGTGAACGGCCTCCTCCCCCCCTCTCACCCCTGGTCACGCCTGATATCGCCAGGGGGAAAAAGAGGTCGCCTGCTTGGGCAAGCGACGCCTGGTCTCAAATGGGCAACGTCTGCGGCGACACCGACAGCGACTCCAGTTCAAGACGGACAGGCACTGCTGTTAAGTCGGGCGTGTCCCCCGACATATGGATTTTCCAAGAAAAAAAGAAAAGAAAGTGCCAAAACAGATTCGAAACATAGTCCCCGGACTAATTTTTTTTAACTATTTTGGAATACTTTCTTTGTTTTTTTTAATTCTTCATCGAAAATCCCTCTGTAGGGGGACAGTCAGGGGGACGTAAGACCTGGGTACAGGGGACTCGGAAATCCCCGACGAGGTCGTCAAAAAAATGACGAGGCCGAGCCTGCACTTTGACGAGGCCTCCCGCTGCAGACGTCCCACGAAACTCCTCCTCGTCAAAATCCGAGGCGCGATCGTCAAAAAACGATGGCGAACCCTAGTCCTGGCAAATCCGGGTCTTACGCTCCCCCGAGACAGGCCCGACCTGACACTGCCGTCTTGGGCGCCCGAGTTATCCGGGGTAACTCGGGTCCGGGGTAACTCGGGCTTGGATTCCCGAAAAACGAACCCGAGTTATCCCTGACCCGAGTTACCCCTGATGATTCGGGGCTCTGGACGCCCGAGTTATCCGGGGTAACTCGGGTCCGGGGTAACTCGGGTTTGGATTCCCGAAAAACGAACCCGAGTTATCCCTGACCCGAGTTACCCCTGATGATTCGGGGCTCTGACCGTCCGTCTCCGTCACCATCTTCCCGGTGCCCGCTTCGAGCGTACCGAAGGTCGGCCCACGAGCGGCCCACGGCGGGCCCGGGAGCGAGAACCGGAGGGGGGCCGGAGCGAAGGCCAAGGCGGCCCTGCGGGGTTGCCCAGGCCGGATCAAGCCGGGTCGGACGATAGTATCGGGTCGGGCGAAAGGGGGGATAGCAACGGGGGGGGTTCAGAGTCAGCTCGCGTATAGCTGATTTTCCCGGCGCCTCCCGGCGCCGGAAGCGGCTATGTATCGAGGGAGGGGCCCCTCGGTGGGGCCGAAACCAGCTGCATGCAGCAAATTCCGTAACCCCCCCTTTCCCAATCCCCCCCTTTCGCCCCCGCCCGAGATAGGGGGGTGGGCGGCAGAGGGCTGACTGCCTGCCATACACCAGGCTCAGGTCGGGCATGTCCCCCTACGGGCAGACCTTGGGAGAAAAACACACAAGTCAAGCAGTGCACAGAAATGCCCAAAGAAATACTCAAAAGACCGTCCCCGGACTGGTTGTTTCCTGTCTTTGAGTCTGCCCCCTGTCGCGGGACATGCCCGACTTAACACCAGGCTTTGCTCAGGGATGGACAGACCCCCCTTTAGTAAAACGTGGTTTAGTGAAAACGACCTGAGGCCCAAACCTGGCGGGCGCAAGCCTGGAAAATAACGGCCACGGCGCCCTCTCGAGAACCGAAAACGGACAATTCACTAATCGACGTGTCACTGTTGGGGGTTCTGTCCACCCCCGATTTGCGCGGGCGCGAGCACAGGCGGAACAGAACTGCGCACACGTGGAACACGTGCCGTCGGCCACACTGCTGCCACAGCGCCGGGGAGCAGGCCGCCTGCGCTGCCGCTGTCGCCAAGCCGCCGGGAGCGACAGGCGCCAGGGGGGGGGGGCAGTAGCGAAGGGGGGGAGCGAGGCTGTTTCAGATCTTCGAGCACCCGCCTCCTCGACCTCGAGGCCCCCGAGATCGCCCAAAGAGGGCCCCCCCGTCAGGCCCTAAGAGGGGGAACTCGAGCTGCCGAGTGGAGCCATCCACCCAAGGATGGCCCCCGGTATGCTCCCAAGATTTTTTTTTTTTTTTTTTTTGTTCCAGTTCCTCAGGTTTGCTCAGGTTCCTCAGGTTTGCTCAAATGCCGGCGTACCGAATGCATGCTGCCAAGAGGCCCCAGAGAAGAGCCCAAGAGGTTCCCAAGAGGCCCCCCAAGAGGCTGCCGAGAGGCCCCGAAAGAAGCCTCCGAGAGGCCGCAGGGCGCCCCCCGAGAGGACCCACGAGGCATCCAACAGGCCCCTCATCCGCGACAGGAGGCCGTTGTCGGTCTCGCCCGTCTGGAGGCCTCCCCCTCCTCCTCCTCCTCCTCTCTCCTCCTCCTCCTCCTCCCCCCCCCTCCTCCTCCTCCTCTCTCCTCCTCCTCCTCCTCCTCCTCCTCCTCCTCCTCCTCCTCCTCCTCCTCCTTCTCCTCCTCCTCCTCCTCCTGGAGTCGCCTCGGAATCCTGGTCCGAGCACACCCGAGGGGGGGGGGTCGAGGAGCAGCGGCTGGACCCGTCAGCGCCGAGCGAGGACATCGGACCGCATCGGAAGGCTCGCCGGAGCGGGCCGTGGCGGGGCGGCATCCGCATCGCATCGGATCGGCCGCGCCGGGATATGCACGGCAGCGCCTCACGGGCATCCGGCCGCAGTGGATCGCCAGGAGATCGGAAGCGAAGCGGATCGGGCCGGCCAGCTCCGGTGCCGAGTCGGATCGATCGGATGCAACTGAATCCTGCTCCCCTCCTCCGAGTGGTTTTAGAGCCATGCAGTCGGGGCGTTGAACTAAGGAACCGTAAGTAAGAAACGAGGCCCCTTTTTGTTCATAAGTTAACCTTCGATTTCCCGTCGAAAACATAAGGAAAGCCTGAGGCAAGCTGTGAAACACTTAAGGAACGCGGAGTCCCTCCCCAACCAAAAGGGTTCCTTCTTCAGGGCCCCGACTGTAACTCGGGTCTCTGGCGGCGGTCTAGGACGATTCTGGCGCCCCAGGGACGCTCTAGGCAACGCGCAGCTGCTGGAAGACATCCCGAGGCGAGAAACCTCCCAGTGCGAACACACAGAGCCTCGAAAATTTCCAACCGTGTCTGAGCGCGTGAGCTTCGGAAGAGGACCCTGCCCCAGACATCTGATATGTTCTTGTTATTCGTGCGCGGTCCCTGGAAGTCCTCGTCCTCCTCCTCCTCCTCCGAGGAGGAGGAGCAGGAGAAGGAGGAGGAGGAGGAGGAGGACGAGGAGGAGCACGAGGAGGAGGACCGACCCTTTCCCCAGGGCTGGTTTTCTATCCCGAGTCGTTCTCTGACTCCCTGTGCCCGTCGAGGAACCCCAGAGGCCGAAAACCGAGAAACATCACAGTCTTGATGTGTTCGGTGTCTTGGTGTCTTCTGGATGGCCCTGCTCCGAGGAGGAGGAGGAGGAGGAGGAGGAGGAGGAGGTACTGATACCGCTTCTCCAGGACATCCCCTGGGGTGCGTTCTGGCAAAGGTTCCGAGGCGAATCCGAGGGGGAAAGCGAGGGGAAAGTAGCAGGAGGCCGAAAAAGGGGAAAGCCAGGGGAAGGTAGCCGTAGTGGGACCCACGGTAAAGGGAAACAATTCATGGACTCTCCCCTCGCCAAGCATTACCCAGGGATGTACCCCTTTCATAACATGTGGCGACTGCACACAGGACCGCTCACTACAAACGAAAAAATGTTCAAATACCTACAGTGCCCCCCCAAGAGCCCACGAAAATGACCACAGTTGCACACTTCGCAGCCCCCCCAGGAGCCGCGAGGTCTCAAGTGGATCCCCGTGCCCCCCCCCACTCCGCGGGACCTCCAAGGAGCCCACGAAAATGGCGACGCTTGCACACTTCGCAGCTCCCGCAGGGGGCCGCGAAGTCTCAACTGGATCCCCGTGTCCCCCCACTCCGCGGGACCTCCCAGGAACCCACGAAAGTGACAACAATTGCGCACTTCGCAGCCACTGAGGGAGTCGCGGGGCACCAACTGGATCCCCGTGTCCCCCCACTCCGCGGGACCTCCCAGGAGCCTACGAAAAAGGCGACAATTGCGCACTTCGCAGCATCCCAGGAAGAAGCGAGGTCTCAACTGCATCCCCGTGTCCCCCCCGCTCCGCGGGACCTCCCCGAGAGCCCGCGAAAGCGGCGACAAATGCACACTTCGCAGCCCCCAGGGAGCCGCGAGGTCTCGACTGGATCTCCGTGCCCCCCCACTCCGCGGGACCTCCCCGAGAGCCCGCAAACGTGGCGACGCCTGCGCCCTGCGCATCCCCCAAGGGATCCGCGAGGTGCTGTCCCGGCACTGCGAGAAAACGAATCTCGACAACAGCAACGAACGCGGGCGAGAACAGTACAGGTTACGAGGACGAGAACGACAACGAGAACGACAACGAAGCTCGAAAACAATAAGGAACACAGGCGAGCACAATTACAGGCTACGAAGACGAGAGCGATCCCGCTGGAAAATTGTCGGAGTTCGAAGCCCCAGAATTCCGATCGAGAATAAGGAGAGCGATGACGCGCTTGCGCCCTCCGTGATCAGGGGGGGCGATCCGCGGCGCCTTCGTACTGAATTTGGCAATCGAATGGCGAGGGCTAAAGCAACGATGAGAAAACGAATGGGAAAACGAACGGCTCTGGCGATTTGAAGATACAAACAACGACAACGAATGGCCGCCCGACAGGTGATAGTTACAGAAAACGAAAACGAATTCTATAAACAAGTTTGAAGGTTTCGTCATTTCGAAATGCTGGGCCAATATATTATGTCCAAAGAATTGGCAGAGAACGAATAGTTTTTCAGCCTCAGCGCTGATAGCAGACTGATCTCAGGCTTCTAGATACCAGCTGGATCCCAGTGTCCCCCCACTCCGCGCGACCTCCCGGGGAGCCCCGAAATATCAACTGGATCCCCAGGTCCCCCCACTCCGCAGGACCCCCCAGACGCCCACGGAAGTGGCGACGCTTGCGCACTTCGCAGCCCCCGCAAGGAGCCGCGAGGTCCCACATGGATCCCCATGCCCCCCCACTCCGCTGGACATCCCAGGAGGCAGGAAGTAGGAGTCAGAGAGCAGGAGGGCGAGGAGGAGGACGGACGGAGCCTGCAGTGGACTCTCTCTATATATCTATATAGATATAAGCACACACACATATATATATATATATATACACATTTATATATATATACAAAACGAGAACCAAACACAGGAGCGTTGGGAGACAACAGTTCGCACGCGCGGGGAAGACTGCGGCCGAAGTGTTCAGCTGTTCAGAGCCACCGCCAACTTTGACCATTGGGGTTAAGGAGGGGGGGGCATTGACAGATGAATATCGACATCGTCATACCACAAGGGACGCTGAGTGAGGAACGAACGTCGGGGGCGCGCAAGCATGGATTAACGATCCATGGATTTGGCGCGCGGTCGCCAAATCCATGGATCTGGGGAGGTGCCCTCCCCAAAATGCGGCCGGTGCCGCCTCGCTCGGCAGCGGAACTCCGCGATTTCCCAGAGAAACGGGACCCGCCGCCAATCCACGCCTGCCTCCTTCATCCGTGTCTGCGATCGCCTGAGAAGGGGCTTCTTCAGGCCACTTGAATCTCCCGCCGCGAATGGGCTCCCCGACATGGATCTGAGGAACGACCCCAAACCCAGAGCCCATCCCGAGCCCAAAGAGGTCCTCATTTCAGCGCCTTGATGGTACGGCATGACTCCTCGCTATTTGGCTCAGGACTCGACCTAGACGGCGCTGTTCGTTTTCGTGTTGCTTCCGTTTTCCCTCGGTCTGCCTTCCACTTGCTGCACACCGGAGAAAGAACCGACAACGGCCCACGAAATCACCAAAACGCCGTTCAGGTCGAGCCCCGATCTCGTTGTACGAGTCTGCTCCTCCGCCGAGCTCTGGCCTCCATGGCGTGGGACTGGACGGCCAGCAACGACCACTCGCGGAGCTCCCGCGCCAGGCCCTCCGGCGGCTCCACGCGCTGCTCGCCCGTGAGGCCGGCGGCCGCCGCCGCCGCCCAGGGGCCTCTCGGAGGGGCAACGATAGGGGGGAGGGCGGCTCGGGGAGAGAGGGAACGAGCTGTTCGCAGGGGTGGAGGGGAAAAACGAATGCTTGCTCGAGGTTCGAGACTCGAGGTTTGTCGGAAGTTTTCGTTGGCCCTCGGCGACCCTCCAGCCTCGGGATGCCTTCCGGTGGCCGCGCCTCGCCGAGAGCGTTCCAGGGGTCCCCGCATCGTCCCGAACGGCCGCTGGAGACCAAAGTTATGGCCCGAGAACTCAAAAACGACGAGGAACACTGGGTAAGGCATCGGCCTCGCCCCTCGGTACCTCGATCCCTCGTCCTTCCGACGTCCAGAAATCTTCTCTCGTCCCTCGACGCCTCCCCGATCCTCGCTCGTCCTGCTGCTGCAGATCACGCCCTGTGAGGAGCCCCGCGGCGAACAAAACGTCCTGCTGCTGCGGCGGCTGGCTCGGGGGGGGGCATCGACCTGGAATCGGCGACACATCGCCGACAGATCGGCGACAGGGCCCCGATAGCGAGTCCGCACGTTCATAGGCGGGTTGTTGGGCTAGGAGCAGGGGAACGGAAAATGACATAAGCATAAAACCTCAGAGGTCCGCGCAGATTTCTGGGATCCGCGCTGCACCCCCCTCCCTGGCGCGCGGAGTCTCCCTGGCGCGCGGAGTGCGCCAGGGGCGGCGCCGGAGGCGCCGCCAGGGGGGGGCCAGCGCGGATCCGAGAAGTCCGCGCGGACCTCCTAGTTTGTATGCTTACATCCCCGCTCACAAGAAGTGTCCCCCTCAGTCGGCCTTGCTTCTCAACACCGCGGACGCGATGGCACGCGTCAAGTGCCTGAGGGGGTGTGGAGACGGCGGCTCCACACCAGGAAGCCCGAATGGTTATGTCATTTTTCGCTCCCCTACTAGTAGCGAGTCCGCGCGTTCATGGCCGGGAGGCCCCCGTCGGCGACGAATGGGCGATGGGGGGTCGGTGCGCCCCCACCCCGAGCCGATCCCCCCTAACGCTAGGTCGGGCATGCCCTCCTACAAGCGGAGATTGGACGAAGAATGAAGATTGTCGAAACATGCTCAAACATGCACGAACATAAAAAAGAATGATTAGACACAGTTGAAGGGCAGGAAACGATGCCAAAAAATAGTCCCCACACTGTTTTTAAATATGCCTGAATATTCCCCCTGCAGAGGGACACGCCCGACTCAACCCTAACGCTGCCCCCTCGCTTGCGGTTCATACATCCGTCCTGCGGCGGCCGCTCGGGACGCCTCCAGGGGTCCCCCGGATCCCTCTCGGCGAGGCGCGGCTGCCGGAAGGCTCATCCCGAGGCTGGAAGCCCGCCGAGAACCGACGAGGAACGCCCGACAAACCTCGAGCCTGGAGCCTCGAACCATGGACGAGGTACCGAGGGGCGAGGCCAATGCCTTCCCCAGTGATCCTCGTCGCTGTTGGTTTTCGGGTCATACTCGGGTCTCCAGCGGCCGTTCGGGACGATGCGGGACCCCCTGGAACGCTCTCGGCGAGGCGCGGCCGCAGGAAGGCATCCCGAGGCTGGAAGGACGCCGAGGGCAAACGAAAACGCCCGACTAACCTCGAGCCTCGAATTTCTCGGGGGCGCGCGAACATGGACTAGCGATTCATGGATTTGGCGCTCGGTCGCCATTCGGGGAAGGTGTCCTCCCCAAAATGCAGCCGGTGCGTCGTCCGGCGGCGGAAATCCGCGATTTCCTTTGGAAACGGGACCCGTCGCTAATCCACGCCCCCTTGACCCATGTTTGCGATCGCCTCGAACCTCGAACTTGCCGTCGCTCGGACGTCCATTTCCCGTGCATGTTTCGGTTTCGTGCGTGTTTTTTTGCTCGATGGCCCAGGATGGTCCTCGATAGTTCTCGTCGAGAAAAAATGCATACGTCCGAGCGATGCCAAGCGAGCAACAACTCGCCCCCCCCTCACCCCTGCGAACAGCTCGCTCCCCCTCCCCCACGAATGAGGCCCTATCGGCGATCACTTGGGCGCATCTCGGGCTGGGCGAAAGGGGGGGATAGATAAGGGGGGGGGGGTGAGAATCAGCTCACGTAGCTGTTTTCCCCGGCGCCTCCCGGCGCCGGAGGCGGCAAAGTATCGAGGAATGGGCCCCTCGGTGTGGCCGAAACCGGCTGCATGCAGCAGATTTCGTAACCCCCCCCTTTCCCTCTCCTAAAACAGGGCTAGGATCTGGATGAATCGCTCCAGAGCGTTCCGGAGCGCTCTCAGAGCGCTCCGGAGCGCTCTGGAGCGGCCGCGGCGCCCGATACGTCCTCCAAGCCCGCCGACTCTCAGAGATTTCGAGTTACCCCGATACGATGTTGCCCCGACCTTCGCGTCGTTTTGTGTCCCCCCCCCCCCCTCGCCCGGCCCGCGCCTCGGGGGCGGCGCCGCCCCGGCCCGAGCCCCCCTCCCACCCTGACCTTCCAGAGAGCTATTTTTTAGCACTGGAAACCTAAAAACCTAAAAAACGAGACGAAACAGCCTAAAACCAAGACGTAAATAGCTCTGGGATAGGTTTTTACGTCGGGTGCTATTTTTTAGCCCTCCTGGAAGGTCAGGGCAGCCCCCCCCCCCGTGCGCTTTTGGCCCCCCCGGCCGTCGCCCCCCGACAGCCACCGCAGGACCTGCAGCTCGGCCGCGGCCTCTCGGAGGAGCGGCAGGGCGGCGCGCAGTGGCCGCGGTGCGGCCGGACCCCAGGGTGGGGGCCCAAAGAATGCAGTCGGGGCGTTGACCTAAGGAAGTCTAGATGAGGAGCGGGGCCCCTGTCTCCCAGAAGTTGAACTTCGATTTCCCATGGAAAACCCCAAGAGAACCTGAGGCAAACTGTGAAACAATCGCGGAACACCGAGCCCCTCCCCAACAAAAAGGGTTCCTTCTTCAGGGCCCCGAGTGTATATACACCACCACCACGTCGATCCCTCCTCTCTTCTCTACCATCCTCTTCCTCTCCTCGCTCCTGGGCGAGGGAGGGGCTGAGGGAGGTGGTGGTGTATATTTTGGGGCCCCCCACAAGGGCAGAGAAGGGCACCCTCCAGGAACGTAACCCAAACCCTCCACCGACCCCCCCAAAAACACACACACTGAGCATCCAGGGGTACCCTCGCCAGGATGCACGAGAACATCCAGCAAGCACGAAGAACATCAGGGTACCCTCCCCGAGCCGACCTCGATCTTCTACCTCGGTCCGACCGTACTGCAAGTTCGCGCGGCGTCGGTGCGCGCAAAGGTTTGTGGCACCGCGTCGGTCATTCAACATTGAATCGATTGCGGCCCCGATCGTTCAAGGTTGAACTCCGTCGGGTCCAGTGGCGTTACCGTGTCCCTCGGTGCTCCCGCGTCGCAGAATTCAACCTGGAACGCCTTCGCCGAGGTCGCCGACGCGCCAACGCCACATGAACATACCCTACTGCCAGGAGGAACTCGAAACGAGGAACGAAGCCCCCCTTTTTGGCCGCAGAAGCGCCTGGGTGCACGAGGAGAGCTAGAGGAAGAGCCAAGGAAGGATCTAAGGAACAACGAGCCCCTTCCGAACACCAAACGGTACTTCTTTCAGCGTCTTGGCTGAAAATACGTCTAAATCTCCGACGACGTACTTTTTCGACCTGGGCGCACTCCCTCGACTTCGGTCTGGCAGGGCAACCTCTGCTGGTAGCGCGCAGAGGTAGAGGGGCACGGGGAGGGGGGAAGGCTTCCCTGACCTTCCAGGAGGGCTAAAAAATAGCACCCGACGTAAAAACCTATCCCAGAGCTATTTTACGTCTTGGTTTTAGGCTGTTCCGTCTCGTTTTTTAGGTTTTTAGGTTTCCAGTGCTAAAAAATAGCTCTCTGGAAGGTCAGGGTTCTTGGGAGGAGACTGCTTCTTGGAAGGCGCCGGCCCTACACCTATAGACAAGGCACGCGCCTTATCTGAGAGTGGGGAGACGTCTAAGACTCGGGATCGGGGGGACGCGGGTCGGCCTGACGGGGCCATCAGGAAAAAGACGAGACCCAGCCTGAAATTTGACCACGACCCATGCTTGCCTCAGGTTTTCCTTATGCTGTCGATCGGAAATCGAAGTTTAACTTATGGAAAAAAGGGTCCTCCTTCCTTATTTTGGGTTCCTTAGGTCAAGTGGGCTGCCGCTGCAGACGCCCCACGCACAGTGGACCGTCTAAATCCAGGACGCGCCCGTCAAACAGCGCAGGCACACCCGAGCTCCGGCGCACTCGAGTCTTGGGTCTCCCCGACACATCTACAGAGAAGGCCGCGCCTTCTAGGAAGCAGCCTCCCTCTATCGCGGGGGCGCGCAAACATGGATTAGCGATCCATGGATTTGGCGCGCGGTCGCCAAATCCATGGATCGGGGGAGGTGCCCTCCCCAAAATTCGGCCGGTGCCGCCTCGCTCGTCAGCGGAAATCCGCGATTCCCATGGAAGCGGGACCCGTCGCTAACTATTCCACGCCCCCTGGATCCACCCTTGCGACCACCTGATTCTAGGAAGCAGCCTCCTTCTGAGAAGCCGCCCCCCCTCTCCCCCCGACCCTCCCCTCTGCGCGTGGCCGACCCTGCGGCCACGGAGCGAAACGAGAGGCAGACTGTCTGAGGTCCGCGCGGACTCCCTATCGGGGGGGCGAGGAGGAGGGAGGAGGAGGAAGGAGGAGGGAGGAGGAAGAGAAGGAGGAGGAGGAGGAGGAGGAGGAGGAGCGAGAAGGAGAAGGCCTTCTCGATTTCCCCCTCGCGCTATTGTCGGCCTCTGGGGTCCCTCACTGGGCCTCGGGGACCGTCAAACAACGGCTCAGGATGAAAAGCCGGTCCCGGGGAATGGGTCGAGACCTCTGGGGGCGACATTATCACTCGCACAAATTGAAACGTCGGGGGTCTGGGAGCGAGGGGGGGAGTGAGAAGGAGGAGGCCTTCTCACAAGGCGGCGGGACTTCTCAGAAGCCCTCCGGCCTTGTGACACGTTTCCGCGTGCCTTCGGGGAAGGCTTGGGAAACTGCTCAGAAGGCCAGGGGACCTCCGAGCCTTATGAGAAGGCCCGCCCCTTCTCACTTCCCCCCTTGGCCTTGGGCGTGGCTTAATGGGGGGGTCACAAATGGGGGGTCAGAAACGGTCCCCTTTCGTGCCCCTTTCGGGCCCCTCCGGACCCCCAGGGGGCTCGTTTAGGTACCGTTTGGGTACCTTTTCGGACCACCCGCGACACCCCCCCATTTATGACCCCTCCATTACGCAACGCCCAATGGCCCGCTGAGAAGGCCCCCCCGGGCTCGCCGCCGACTCTTGGATCTTCGCTGGACGCCCCTGGCGGCACCCGCCAGCACCGCCCGTCGGCGGCGCCCCCCGTGCGCCAAGGACGACGGGGCCCGGCGCGCCGATCCAAGACATCCGCGGGGAGGAGCTCCGGGAGGCTTCCCAGCAGGGCTCGACCTACACGGCGTTTTCCGATTTCGTGCTGTTTTCCTTTTCCCTCGCCCTGTCTTCGTTCCACCTTTGCTTCAAAACGACGCCGAGAAGAAAACGGCCCACCTAATCGCCAGAACACAGTTTCGGTCGAGACCTGCCTCCTACATGGGGTCCGAATAGATGGGGTCGGAGGATCGTGCCGTATCGGCGCTGCATCGGCGACGTACGCCGGCGTGGAGAACATCGGGCTCCACATCGAGCCGCATCGGCGATGCGGCGCAATTCTCCGACCCCACCTACTCGGACCCATTACTTATGAGAGGCCTAGAGCTCCAAGAATTAATGCTAATGCCTACGCTTTGTATTCCTCTTCTGCTATGTTTTCAACTTGGCAAGCTCTTATCGTGACTATGGTGTGCTTTCTTCGTGTGAACTTCGTTTCTTCTTCCTTATGGGATACCGGTACCGCTACTCCTCGGACCTCTCCCGGGGTTCGCTCTGACCAGAACTTCAAGGCGAATCCAGCGGTGGCGACGAGGGCCTTCCAGGAGGCCTGTTCATCCTCTGATATGATTATGGTCCCTGTCACTCTACTTTCTTATTCGTATCGTCTGCGCATCAGTAGATTCAGTATATTACTGCGAATAGTCAGCGATGCAACATGTTGTATTAGTCGTCTTCGTTTTCGCACCAATCGAACCTATCTAAGTATTCCGCACAGTTATGCAAAATCTTACTAGTAGTGCTATGATCGTACTGGGTATCGTTCCTGCGGCCTGCGTTACCTGATGCGTAGTACGACGTATGGCTCGCATTCGTCTTACGATTGATAGTTATTATGATTTGCACTGATTTGAGCCATCCCATTGTCGCATTAAAAAACGGGGGGTCGCAACCCTCCCAGACAGGTATTTTTAGACCCCCGCCCCAAACCACCCATGCAGAGGAGGCCCTCAGACCCTTCCAGAATCCTCCACGACCGCTCAAATCAGGCCCCCCTCCTAAATCCGACCCCCTCCTTCCCATTATTAGGTCGGGCATGTCCTCCTACAGGCGGATTTCGAAAGAAAACTGCAAATACCCCCAAAATTATACAAGAAACGTCTAAAAATAATCAAAAGAATCGTCCCCTGACTATTTTTTGACTCTTCGGCATGTGCCTCCTGCAGAGGGACACGCCCGACTTCAGAGTTCTGTTCGTCTTCTCCCTCGACGCCTGCACCAGGGCGGCACGCGCCGCACCCGCGGCGCCCGCGGCCGCTGGGCCGCCGAGCCTCCGCAGCTGCCGGCAGGCCTGCTCTGCGCAGCGCTCGACGGCGCCCGCGAACGCGGTACCTGAGGGGCAACGATAGGGCCAAGTCGGGCGTGTCCCCTTACAGGGGAATTTTGGCCGAAAAATTGAAACATACACCAAAAATGCTCCCAAATGGCAAAACATACTCAACAAATAATCACCGGACAATTTTTTACCATTTGTGAATATCCCCCCTGTAGAGGGACACGTCCGAAACAGGAAGTAGGAAGGCGGATATAGTAGATTGGGTCCAGGCCCCCCCAGGGAATGACAAAACACAGAAAAAGCGTGTCGATTCTTGAAGTAGGAAGGCGCTTGAAGTAGATTGAGACGGGAATCCCAAAAGACCTACTTTCAACGACAGGCGTGTGAGGGGGGGGTGGACTGGCGTACCGGGGGCGGCCAAGAGGGGGGCGTCCAAGAGGGGGGGGGCGCAAATCATGGCCGGCGGCATGTGCGCGGCCCAGGGGGGGGGGGCCAGGGACGCAATGAAGCAAGAAGGGGCGTCATGAGATCTGGGGAAATGTCATGGCCCACGCCATGATAATTTTCCATCCACCCTGGTCATCAACCCCCTCTTGGCCGCCCCCGAGCGTAGGGGGGGAAATCGGCGAAGGCCCCCGAGAACGAAACCTCACCTTCCTGGGGCGCGGTGGGGTTATCGGGCACCTGTCGGCGATCGATGGGCGATTGGGGGTGGATGCATCCCCCCCCCATGCCTATTCCTCCCCCCTCGTTGCCCCCGAGGACCGCACGCGCCCGGGGCGTTGGCGAAGCGCACGAGCAGCTCAACCGTCTCCAGGACCAAGAACGGATGGTAGGCCTGCGCGTGGTGGGCCCCGGAAACGGCAGGGCTGTTCTTTCATCGCTTCCGGAACAAATTCTCTTGAAAATGGAAGCGGTCAAAAAACGGAACCGGAAACGGCAGGAAAATTAGCCTGACGAGGGACCCAACCATATGCAGGTGCCAGTACCGCAATAGTGATTCATTTTTTCGGTGGCGATCCCTATGAGGCAACGAACCGTGCTAGGGGCGTGCCGACATGAGTGGCGTGGTACACAAAGCGAACGAAAACGATTGATCTGAGTACGTAGGGAGACTGAGCGCGGGTGAATCTGCGCGCGTGCGTCTGACTGTGAATGATCTGCGTGCGAGCGAGTCTACGTGCATGAATGCGAATATGACAAAGCGTGGTGCAAATGTGTATGAATGCCAATAGTTTGACAACGACTGCCTCTGAATACTCGTGACGCTGGGCGTGGCCGCCGCAAGGAGCTTCCCCGGGACTCCCCGACGGCATCGCCCGCGCGCCGCGACGCCAATGTCGGCGCGCCCCCCCGCGAGGATCGCGCCCGCTTCCTCCCCTTCCTTTACTCCCTCTTTGCCCGCGCACTCAAAAGTCCAAGGCTGCGGGAGCAGCGCAGCGCGGAGCCCCCGCGACGCGCGCAGGTCACCCCGGAGGGGTCCCAGCGACGCGCGCGGGTCGTCCACTGCGCGGAGCGAAGAGAGCTAGCTGGCTGGCTGATAGCGGGCAAGGCTCTTGCCGCTGGGCAGAGCGACGACGGGCGAGCGAGGCGCTGGGCGGAACGCAGCACGGAGCCCCCGCGACGCGCGCAGGTCGCCCCGGAGGAGTCCCAGCGACGCGCGCGGGTCGCCCGCTGCGCGGAGCAAAGAGAGCTAGCTGGCTGGCTGGGACCTGCGGTGGGGCTCCATATGGGGCCACGTAACGCTGTACTGGGCAAAGGAGACGCATGTGGACTGCGCCACGGGGACCTTCGGTGGAGCTCCCTATGGGGCCACGAAACGTGTGAGGGATGTGCCGGAATGGGTGTGCGGGACGCATGCGGGCACACCCACTGAGACCTTCGGTGGAGCTCCCTATGGGGCCACGAAACGTGTGAGGGGTGGGACGACATGTGTGTGCGGGACGCATGCGGGCACACCCACTGGGACCTTCGGTGGAGCCCCCTATGGGGCCACGAAACGTGTGAGGGATGTGCCGAAATGGGTGTGCGGGACGCATGCGGGCACACCCACTGGGACCTTCGGTGGAGCTCCCTATGGGGCCACGAAACGTGTGAGGGGTGTGCCGAAATGGGTGTGCGGGACGCATGCGGGCACACCCACTGGGACCTTCGGTGGAGCTATGGGGCGGACGCATGCGGGCACACCCACTGGGACCTTCGGTGGAGCTCCCTATGGGGCCACGAAACGTGTGACCGAAAACGTGTGAGGGGTGTCGAAATGGGTGTGCGGGACGCATGCGGGCACACCCACTGGGACCTTCGGTGGAGCTCCCTATGGGGCCACGAAAGTGTGAAGGGTGTGCCAAAATGGGTGTGCGGGACGCATGCGGGCACACCCACACCTTCGGTGGACTG